CTAGAAAATATCATCTTCTACCCCATACAAACCTAAGAGGAGATATTACTCTGAGAAGTTTCCCCTGGCACAGAACAGCACCATGGATGGATGGATGGATGGATGGATGGATGGATGGATGGATGAAGTAACTTTCTCACTCACTGCTTAAGGCCTGTATCACACTCTAGCTAGAATAATCACTGGGCATCATTTTTTTCTCCTTTCTAATGTGGACATCTTAGCTTCTGGAAGGCAGGGTCTATTCCAAAAGTCTTTCTTTGAATATGCGACACATCTGGCATGATGCCTGGCATATAGTGGACACTCAATATGTGTTTATGGACTGATCGATGAAATAAAGGCTCAAGCCTCTGGCCAAAACAGGCTACAGCTACAGCTACTGAGAAGAATTCCCCTTATTGTTTTCAGCAAGCACTAGGTATGTCAGAGTCTACAAGGATAAGAGAATAAACTATCCCTTGATACTGATGCTTTACAGGAAATCAGAAGCTGTGGATATTTGGAGAAAACAACACTAAACAAAATTAATCTAAGCTCCAAAAAGCATTCAACATTTAGTTTAATCCTGGCATTTAAAAGAAAGCTCAAGTCATGTTCTCTTTCATCTAAATAAATTTTCAACTGAAAATATTTCCCTTTGACTGTTCTACAGCTATTCCTGATTTCTCTAGAGCTGGAAAGTAAACAGGACTGGTTCTACCCTGGGCTTCACGGAGTTAATGCCTTTTCCAAAGGGAGTGAAACATAACAGTTCTTAGCACTCCAGATGGTGGAGATAGGAGTGGGTATTGGCCCACTCCCTTTTCTCTATCACAGTTCCTTCTTTCTATTATTAGTTTTCTTGAGAATATTATTTACTATCCAGTTCTGAGCTATTTCCTTCGCCTTCTGATGAACAGCTAAGCAACCAGCTTCATAATAACCTTGTGAACCAGCTTCTTCAAATCTGCCTCATTAAGACTTGGGCTTTCTTTTGCAAAGCACTAGGTGTCCTTTTAACATTGCCACAGGCCACCAGATATTATCCAAGTATCTAAATGGACTTTTAAAAGTTTAAGACTACTTTGTTGCACACCAACCAAAATTCCAAATTATGCCTGAAGACTATGAAGTACTATATCTTCAGATAAATAATTGTTTTAATTTGTTATTTTGCTTCATTGCAGAGCAGGGTGGTGGGCAGGTGGGTGGTTAGGTTAGGAATCAAAGAGGGAAATTAATGCAATGCAGAAAACAAATCTATAGAGATTCACCCCCATATCAGTCCCTAACTGGTCAGAGCAGCCTGAAGTGTTGGTACATGCTCAGCAGTCCAAAGACATGGTTCTCAGGAATCCAGTTCCTTCCAACATAACCCTAACTGGAATCTCCCTTTCCCACCCCTTTCAAGCAAAGAATGTCAACTCACCAAAAGGAAAGGAAAGCGGGCCTATTTTGAACACTTTTTGTGTGACCTTGAGAAAGCTAGCTAACCTCACTGGGGCTTCTTCATCTATGGTATATTTCGTCCTCATAAAACCTCACATGGAATTAAAGTCCCCATGAGTAGATGAGAAAACTGAGGGACAGAGAGTTTAACAGTTTGCCAAAGCTGCCCAAATTGTCAGAATCCAAATCCTTTATCTTTCTACTTCTCAGGGCCCCTACACAGCCCTGCCCCCCTAAATATTTAAACAAAAACGAGTCAATCAGGGCTAGGACCCAGCCACAGGCCCCTGAAAGCAAAGAACTAATGCTGCCATCTCCTGTGTCCATAGCTACAATAACATCTTGTAGCCTTAAAAATATTTAGATGCCGGCCGGGCGCGGTGGCTCAAGCCTGTAATCCCAGCACTTTGGGAGGCCGAGGCGGGTGGATCACGAGGTCGAGAGATCGAGACCATCCTGGTCAACATGGTGAAACCCCGTCTCTACTAAAAATACAAAAAATTAGCTGGGCATGGTGGCACGTGCCTGTAATCCCAGCTACTCAGGAGGCTGAGGCAGGAGAATTACCTGAACCCAGGAGGCGGAGGTTGCAGTGAGCCGAGATCGCGCCATTGCACTCCAGCCTGGGTAACAACAGAGAAACTCCGTCTCAAAAAAAAAAAAAAAAAAAAAAAAAAAAAAAAAAAAAAAAATTTAGATGCAATTTCAAAGTCAGCACATAGAAAGAGACATCAAAAAAAAGTATTATGGTCTTCATTGCCCTATATTTCTAGTTCTCAATTAAGAGTGCCAAGCCATCAGATGCCCCCCCTTAACAAAAAAAGATTTCTTCTTTTCTTCCAGTTAAGCCAAAATAACTAAATGTACCTATCATTTATTCAGTCAACCACATTTATGGATTACTACTGTGTCCAAGAAAGCTCTGAGCCAAAATAGAGAAGGGAGAAGGCTGGCCTCTCCAAAGAGTAAAAACACAGCACACTCGGGGGTGAGCCAGGAGCCTGGGAGTCTACTCCTTGCAGCTGCCCAGGGATGACATGAGAAGAGTAGAGGCTGCATCAAAAAGCAACCTGCCCCCATCATTTCTGAACTTGATAAGGAAGTAGACTGGAAAGTCATTTAATGCCAGGTCATAAATCTAGATCACAAGGAGACTTTCCTACTTGGGTGTAAGTGCCTTTAGCTGGCCTAATAGCTACTTTTCTACGTGAAGCTACTGGAATGAAGCCCAGGCACTCCACCAACCCACTCTACCATCCCCCTCCCCTACCCAAACATAGACCCTCACACACAGTCAATCCACACAACCACAAGGAACTTTCAAGTGTTTCTGAGCTATTATGTTGATGCTCCATACTATTAAAACATGTAATAGTAACTCTTCCAACTCTTCTAAATCACACTATAGTTCAAACCATGGAAGAAGCTCAAATTAGAGGGTGACAAACTAATGTAATGTCCCCTTGTCCAGCTTTCCCTAAGAAACCCAGATCTTGGAGACACACAGCCATAGATTTTTATGTCCTCTCCTGATAACAGTAACTACCATTTTATAATCAAGTATTAAACCTTCCCCTATATAAAAATAACTTGTCATAACACCCTCAGAAATAGTTATCATTGCATTGTATTGATGAATAAAATGAGGATCTGAGTACGTAATTACCCAAGCTCAACCTCCTGGCAAATGAGGTTTTTAGAATTCAAACCCACCTGAGATCATCTTCCTAACTACACCAGCCTGCCTCTATTCCCCAAAGAACCTGGTACTTAATAAATACTGTTAGTAATGAATTCAATCAAAGGGAGAGAGAGCAAGCCTTGGGATTTTTCTGAATGTGGGAACCTCCCACCTGCACCCACTCTAGGGACTACATGACATTGAGTTCCAGCCTCAGGAGAGGGCCATCTCCACCTGAACTGGGCCCAGCACACAGGTGGGCCTCCGGCATTCCACCCTTCTCACTCTTCCCTTGCCCCAGAATCCCCGAGATGGAGCACTGAAGCAATTCAGGAAGAGCATCTACTGCCTGATATGTGGGGGTGGGAGTGGAGAGGGGAAAAGAACAGCGTGTGCCTTCGGGAATTTGCTCCCTGAAGTCCCCGCAGTGATTTCGTTTGTGTCTGGCTTCCTATAAACAAAGCAGAACAATGAGAGGAAGGAATACCAGGAGGCACCAGCGCTAGCTGGAAGGAGAGGAAGTTTGCGGTGCTCGCCAGCAGGGCGGTTCCCGGCCACCCGTCTGCTGCAGCCGGGCAGGCACACTGCTCGCAGACCAGGTGCTCTCCAAGGAGAAAAGAAAGTTAGTGGGTTTGGGGGGCATTTCCTCTCTTTTCCTAAAAGAGGGTGGCAGGGGGGGCTGGCTTAAAAAGAAAGCAGCACTGACCTACCCTTGGGGTACCCTTTCAAAACCCTGCTCCTTCCAATGCTGAGTCCTTTCGCTCCTCCCCTTTTTCCCAGTCAACCTGGGGGGTTAACTGGGAAGGGCAGTAAGGCAACTCCAAGCGACGCCTTCCAAACTCGGGAAGAAGGAAAGCACAGGAGTTGGTAGAAGACGTGAAGGCAAAGCTTGAGCACCTATGTACCCGGTGACACAAGACGGGTCTGAGGGTGGCGCCCGCTGCTTCTCCCAGGCGCCCCGCCAGCCGCTCTCCCTAACAGTGGCGCCCTTTCCTCGCCCTCTGCCCGCCCAAGAGCTGCTGGTCCAGGGCAGCCGCATCCCCAACTCTCCAAGGCGAAGATCCCCTGGACTCACCCCCTTACTAGCCTTTCCCCTCACTGACTGAAACCCGGCTCCCCAAGCACTGATTTTCCAGCCTCCCTGAAAAATGAAAGGTTCGCGGGCCCTTCACCTCCCTCCCTGCTCTCTAGCGTCCTCCGCGTGCGTGCCTCCTGCCGCAGTGCACCTCGAACAGCCAGACACGAGCGCGCACAGGGGAGAGGAGGGGAGCAGATGCCTCCAAAGTTTGGAAAAGTTTCACAGGGGCTGGGGACTAGGGGCAGGGGATGCCGACCGGGAGAAGAGTAGGATCACCTGTTGAGGGAGGGAGGGAAAGTTTGCCTGGCCCCGCCTCGCCGGGGCACCCAGCTCCCCGCTGCGCCGCGCCTCCCCGCCCGGCCTGCGCTCACCTTGAGGCCGCGGATCTCGCCGAGGTGCAGCTGCAGGCGGCGGTTCACCTCGCGGATGAGGTTGCTGTGGTCCAGCATCGCGCTCACCTTCTCGGCCTCGGCGCGCCGCAGGCTGCGGATCAACTCCTCCTTGCTCCACTGCAGCAGCTCCTCGTCCGACACTTTGGACAGGTCGTCCACGGGCGCGGCAGCGGACGAGCCGGCCGGGGCTGGGGAACAACTTTCCGCCGCCGCCGCCGCCGCCGCCGCGCCTCCGGCCGCCTTAGACATGGTATCCACGCGGTGGCAGGTGCGAGTGGGCGGAAGAGGCGAGGCGACTCCCGAAGGCGCGGGCGCGGCGGGGCCGCCTCCGCCCACACCCCTGTGCGCTCCGGCGAGTCAGCGACACCGCCCAGGGGCCGCTGGGTTGGGGCGGCGGGGGTCGCGCTGGGTGGCCATCCTACCTCGCCATCCCTGCGCGCGCGCCCGCGCTCCCCCAGAGCCCGGCAGCCACCCGCGCACTGCTGCGGAGGCCCGTCCCAACTCCGCGCAAGTCCATGGTGAGGGGCGCTGGGAAGCCCGGGGCCGACGCGGGAAAGCCTCGGGGACGGCGGAGGGCTGCACCCCAGTTCCTCTGCCCTCTCCTTCGCCCGGAGCCGAGACTGTCGCCCCTCGCACTCTCTGCCTCGCACACAGGCGCGCACGCACACGCACTTTCCTCCCCCTTGCCCAGCTGCAGCCCCCGGCTTCTCCCCTCTCCTAGCTGAGGAGGGCGCACCGGGCCCCGCGGCGCCTCCCTGGCTGCTCTAGCGACGCCGCCGCCGCGGCTGCCCGAAGGCTGCTGCGCTCCTCCTGCCGCCTTCGCTGCGCCGGCGGCCGCTCTTAGGATGCTCCGGGAAGCCTTCGATTTGCAGAGCAGAGTCGAGAAGGGGTGGAGGGTGGGGGACCGGCTAGAGGAGGAGCCTGGAGCTGGGGCCACCCGTCACCGCAGCAGCTCCCGCGTGGGCCGGACGCAGCTGCCACTCGACCGCTGCCCGGGTCCCCGAGGTGCGCTCCCCGCTATCCTGCCCGGGAGGGCTGGGGGCGCGGCTCCTTCTGCGCCCCAGCGCGGGTGGGGCTGGAATGGGGAGGTGTGGAGCCGTGGCCGCCGGGCTTTAGGAGGCTCGCGCGCGCCACCGTGTGGCGGAAAAAGCTCCCTCCTTTGCCCTCTGCACACCCGGCTTGTCACCAGGCAGGGGAAACAGCTGCTGACCCAAATGCGAGGTGCTCAGTATTTGGAGGGATCGGGGATCAGGAAAGATGGAGTAGGGGAGCAGGAGCTGAAAAATAGCCAGCTATTTGCAGTTTGGAGAATGGGAGGTGAAGCAAATGGCAAAAACGGGGGTCGGGGGAGCTTAGGAAATTCCAAATGGTCTGAAAAGAGGGGAAAGAGGCATCAGGGCACTGCTCTTTAGGGACTACTCATCCCCACCCCCCACCTTCACCCTCACCTCCCCCCTAGGCCTTTGTCTTTTCTAAAAATCCACTACTTTATGAAAAAGCTTCACGAGAAGGTACTGGATCTTTTAAATTTTTTATTTGAAAATATCAAAGCCTTTAGGTGAAAATAAAATACCTTCATCTCCTGCTTCCTGAGACCTGGATTTTAAGGTCAGCACAGTCACCTTCCCTCCCAGCAAAGCAAGCCCCCTCAGGCAAGCTGAAATGCCAGCCAAGGAGATTTCCATTTTCTTCTATGCCGCAGGCTGCCAGGCGATTACTGGGTCGGCTTTTTTATGATGGTTATTTCTGGAAGGAGGAAGTCTGAGTCCCTGGCTTCTATCTTTGGGCTATCCTCTTGTAAAGTTGGGTGGAATCTTCTCTTGACTGAAAACATGCCTTTTGCCTAAAGAGGTGGATGCCCTTGACCCTGGCGTGTTATTTCCAGGGGGAACAGGGCCGGAAAATTGCAAGGATCTATCCCCACCAGGTTTCAGTTAACCAGGGTGCAGCGGGAATAATCTCTATCTGGTAGGATGAGAATCCAAATCAGTCCCTTCACCCGCCAGTCGGTTTGTGTCCCCTGTTAGGGACACTGAGACCTGGCTCCCAGGAGAGGCAAGGAAAGGCGATACTGCTTACCTGTGACCAAGTTGGCCTTAACATGCCCCTCTGCTTGACTAAACTTTAGACAGGTTTCTTCCTAACTGGAGGCCACTGACCTTCCTTTTCTCAGAGCATTTGCTTGAGCAAACTTCCATTGATAAATGTTTCCTCTGACCCTTTGACGTGTAAATCTCTCAGCCTCCTGCTGGGTTTTACAGCCTAGGAATGCCTTTCTCAGGGATCTGTGAGGCATCCCTTTGCAATGTAATCATCCAGGAAAATAGGGTCCCTATCTCCCAGTCTTTGTGGAGAGGAGGAACCTAACTTTAATATGTTCCAATTAGGAAACACAAATGGGCTCATTACGTTGACCAGCCTCCCACCCTAATCTCCTCCACTGCTCTTCTACTAGCTCCTCTCCTCCTGTTTCAGTGGAGCTGACTCTCCCTCCCTTTCTTTCTTCCCTATTAAAAAAGTCTTGAATAAATCCCCCTTGCCTGTTTAAGTATATTGGATGCAATTTTTCTTTGACATTTCCAAGGGGCTCTCATGCCCACAGAAGGCTCTGCTCAATACAGTTTCTAAGACCAGTTTTGTCACAGAAAGGGAAAATGAAAGTCAGAAAAAGATAAGTCCTATCTCTGTTCCTCGTTCTTGTCCTAGAACAAAATCATCCGACCTTACTGGCCCTGGGGCAGCTAATGATAGGATATCCATGAAGTGCTTGATCGAGGCACCCTACAGAAATACAACCTTATTATTACTGATACTACATATTATATTGGGCAGCCTCTTGTCTAGAAATAGGATCGAGGACTTCTGTTTATTCCTCCATCACTGGTTCCTCAAGAGTCCTATTCTAACATGAAACAGCCAGCCCCCTTCTCTGCTAACTCTCTCTGATCAGTTAACACCTAATAGATATGACAAGTCAGAAAGCTGGCTGAGAGAAGAAATTAGACTTGGGAGGACAAGGAAGAAGGAGAGGAAAAAACAAATCTCCTCAAATTATATACACTGGCTTACAGTTGAGCTAGATCACCTTAAGGTTTTGATGTTTCTAATTTTGGTCATTGATTCAGAATAATAATTTCTGCATGAATGAATAATGTTGCTTCATGTTGCTAAGGTCATGTATGGTGTCAGGAGCTTCACTTGACTGCTAAAAACAGAAACTCATAAAACAGCCACTTTAAAAAAGTCATTTATTTTTTCTCACCTACCTGGTATGCTAAAGCGAGACAGCTGAGGGCTGGTATGGTGTCTTTGTGAAGTCGTCAAAAAATTAGGCTCCTTCTCTCTGCTCAGTCCTCTTTGGCGTGATTGCCTTGTGTCCATAACATGGCTGCTGGAACTCTAGCCATCCAGCTACATGTAAGGCAGGGAGAAGATAATGACAACCACAAAGGGGCACATGCCCCTTTAAAAAGCTTTCCTGGTAGCCAGGCATGGTGGCTCACGCCTGCAATCCTAGCACTTTGGGAAGCTGAGGTGGGTGGATCATTTGAGGTCAGGAGTTCAAGACCAGCCTGGCCAATGGTGAAACCCCATCTCTACTAAAAATACAAGAATTCACTGAGTGTGATGGCATGCGTCTAATCCCAGCTACTCGAGAGGCTGAGGCGGAAGAATCTCTTGAGCCTGATAGGCAGAGGTTGCTATGAGCCAAAATTGTTCCACTGCACTCCAGTCTGGGTGACAGAGTGAGACCCTGTCTCAAAAAAAAAAAAAAAAAAAAAAAAAAGTTTTCTGGTAATTGACCCAGTGAATTTCATTTATGTTCTAATAAGCAGAGTTTACCATATGATCACCACCCAGCTGTAAGGGAAGCTAGGACATTTTTTTAAGTTGGGTATATTAATGTCACAAGCAAAATTAGAGTTGTTTTAATAAGAAAGAATAAAATAGATATTAGGTAGGCAACTAACAGTTTCTTATGCAAACTTTGGCAGTTTCTTATGCAATCTGAACTCTGAGTAAGCTAAATGGAGGGTTCTGAAAACCAGCCACAAATGACCCTGTCTTTAGTCCTGATGGTGTTATATCATATGATTTTTTTGAATCAACTCTATTTCATCCCAGCTTACTGCTGTCCAGCCTAGGCTCTCATTAAGTCTCAACTGAGCCTCCTCACTGGTCCCTTACAGCATCACCTTTCTCAAATCTGCTTTCCACACAACTTCCGAAGTGAATCACCTCAAGTCAAGTCTAGCTGCTTCACCCCTGAGATAGACTGAATTCTTGCTCATAATTTTTCACAACCTCCCTATAAAATTAATTAACACCACCCTCCACCATGTTACATTGCAGCGCCTCCCCTACAGGGGGCAGCTTTTCTACTATCCCCACTGGTATTGGAAATCATATTGCAAGCATGTGACTTGCTGTACTAAGGCATCTGTGTGCACCTGACAATGTACCCCTTCTCTGAAGAGGTCTCAAAAAGCTTTTGGCTGCCCACTCACCCATCTGTATTTTCCATGCTTCACTAGGAGAAGAGCTTAACCTTGAGTAACTGCTGTTCCTTCAGTCTAAAGACCTGCAGCGTGAAGCAGAGACATGCTCACAGACTCACAGAACTGTGTGTGAGAATACATGACTGTTGTTTAAGCCACTGACTTTTGGGGAGATGTATTGTGCAGCATTACTAATGCAAGAGTTAGCAGATACAACTCCCTTGACTAAATCCCTTTGGTGGCATCTCAGCACCTTTCTGTGGAGTGAAGCTACATTTCTTAGCAGATCGTATAAGATAAGCACAGTCTGATGCTTACCTACTTTTTCAGCTCCACCTTCTATCATACATTGCCTCATATTTCATACTTGTTCAGTTCTAAACTGCGTCTAGCTCCCTGTCAGCATTCAGTATACGTCTGTGCTATACTGATGCTCTTTTCTCATGCATGAAATGCCTTCCTTGCCTTTACCTTCTGAATAACTTCCCACCAGATCCTTCAATAGGCACCATCTACTCCAGATCCTGGCATTAGCCCTCATTTCCCTGGCAGAGGCAAGGGTGAGTGTCCCTCTCCACTCCCATAACCTCCACTGCATACCTCTAGTGCAGTACCTAAAATAGAATGCAGAATTATATGAAATATAAGCAGAGGCTCAGGCTAATCCAGTCCAATCCCAACAAAAGGGTTTAGCTCTAGCTAGAATTTAATAATCTCTTTTCTGCTTTCTCCAAACCATGCAGATTTTTGTCATGCTCTATAGAACTGCTTGGTGCCATGAGGGATGCTATTGAGGACATTGCTCATGATGTCCCATAATGCCTTATAAAGACTGCATCTAATCCCTGTGGTTCTTTGGGGTAACTACCTAATTATCATCCTACGGACACTGAATTTTGCAATTAGTTATGTATTTCTCTTTGCACTGGCTTCTAGGAATTCAGGTCTAAATTTTTGGGCCATCTTTACTAATTTAGACAAAACTTAGCAAATATAATTTGCTGACTAACCTGACTTCCATCAATTTCTTACTTTCAGATTTCTCCCTCAGAATTTCTTATTTTTAACCTTGTGTACATATATCTTGGCAAGTTACTGCTGACATTTTTAGTAAGGCAGAAAAGAGAGGAAGGGAAGGAGGAAGGTACAGAGGAAGGGAAGGAGGAAGGGAGGGACTAAAGGGGAACAAGGGTCTTGCTTCAATTATAGACCCTATAATGTTTTCTGTCTCTCGTTTACTTTGGTGTCTGCTTTGGCTCGAACATGTGTCCCTCCAAGATTCATGTGTTGGAACTTAAACCTTAAGGTGATGGTATTAAGAGGGGGCCTTGGGAAAGCAACTAGGTTATCAGAGTTCTGCCATCATGGATAGGATTAATGCCCTTATGAAAGAACTTGAGACAGCAAGTTTGTCCCTTTGTGCCCACCCTTCTCTTCC